TAGTAGAGACGAGGTCTCGCTCTTGCTCAGGCTGGTTTCGCCTCAGCCTCCCAGAGTGCTAGGATTACAGGTGTGAGCCACCGTGCCCAGCCCCCATGCCCAGCCCCCAGCCCCCATTTCTAACCACCTCCCCCAAGGGACATCTGGCAATATCTGGAGACACTTGTGTTTGTCACAACTTGGGGAAAGGTGCTACTGGCACATATTGGTTATTGGGCACCAATGCTGCTAAACATCCTACAGTGCACAGGACAGTCCCCACACGAAGAATTACCCAGCTCCAAATGATAATAGGGCTGTGGTTGGAAAATCCTGAGCTAGATGATGGCAGTGGGGGTGTCTAATTTAGGTCAGGTGGTCAGGGAAGACTCCCCTAAGAAGGTGACATTTAGGCCAAGCCTTGACTGAGACACTGCCATACATAAGTGGTAAAGGAACACCCCAGAATGAGGGGACTTGGAAACAACACATAACAATGCGAAATGTATCTATTGTGTGTAGTGTACAAAGGCCCATATGGAGACAGAGAACCGAAGGGGGCAATTAGGAAGTCTGTCTTATCTCAATTATTATATTCTTTCTCATTTGAATTTTTGAGAATAGTTACTTTTTATAATTAAAAAATGAAAAGAAAAAAAGCAGAGGTTAGAAAGGAGCCTCTTGTAAAACCAGAGGTAGATTTCAGAGAGCAACCTTCACAGTGGTCAGGAGGCCCTGGTGTCCCTGGTGTCATGATCTGAGGTCAAACTTCTCCACCCCTCTGACCTTCTGGAATGACAGGATTTCCTAGAGACCACTGATTCAGAACCAGATAATGCATGTTCAGCACCTGGTTTTGTGCTGTGTGCTATTATATTTTCTGTTATATTTGGATGTGTTAGGTAAGTTATCTTGACTTTGAGAAAAAAAGAACTCACACGACTAGTTTGGGTATTAAGTGAGATCGTTAAATAAGTGTTCCATAAACTATACAGCACGATGCAGATATGAGGTGTTGAGAATAAAGATTGGAAAGGCTGTGCTCAACAAATTATCTTTTCATTGTGCCTCTGGATTCCAAAACCCATCTAGATAAAGAGAAGTGACTTGGCTACAGAGGAGAAAGAAGGGCCGGGAGGGAAAGTGCTTAGGCTAGGGGAGAAGTGATTAAAAATCAAAAGTAGTAGCACCAGTTACATTATTCATACAACAAAGAGGAGGAGAAATATCCCAATGGTTGATAAAATCACAAGATGGCTGTAGCCCAGCCCCAGGCCCTTGAAAAGAAAATGGTCACATCAGACAACTGACTTGTTTGGAAAGAAAAAAAAAAAAAAAGAAAATGGTCACCTCCTCCTTAAGCAGCCCAAGATCCTCTGACTTGAGATGTGAGATGATTATGGAGATGATTATAGACCTTTTTGCAGTGTTTAGAGCCCAGCATTCTGCATATTTCATAAAAATACCAGAGACTAGAAGCAAAAAGGGTTCAACGACTGTGTGAGTCATCATTCCTTGACCTAGGACACAGCACCTGATGAAAATCATGCTTAATCAATTGTTGTTGAGTAGATGAACAAAACAAATACATTCTCCAGTCACTTGATAGACCTGTTATCAAAAAACAACAATAATAATGGCATTTATTGGTACACTTTTCTTATTTGCCTTTCCAAGTTTCTATTTGAGTTTTTGCTTTTGAAGAGTTTGCAGGCAGTGAAAAGTAACTTTATAACAACTCCCTTTCTCTGCCTGGCCTTGAGGCAGCTGCAGAAGATAAGACACCAAATGGAACTCTGGTGCCTGGAGAGAAAAAAAATATGGCGAAAAACGTTTATCAGCAGCCTCTGCAAGCGCCGAGCAACGCCTCAATCTCCCAATTCAATTAACATTCATAGGAATTCAGCAAATAATATGTAGCAAATGTGAATCCATACACATTTTTTAGCACTGGAAAGAATCTTAAAAGTCAGCGAATCCGTTTTATTGAGAGGCCCTGAGACATTAAGGGACTGACAAAGCCAGAACTGAAACTCGTTTTTCCACCTTGAGATAAGCGAATAAACAAAAAATATCTTAAGCAATTGCTGGTATTTGAAGCCCACTTTTTTTTGAGTTGTTTTCCTGTTATGTTGTGCAGACTCCAGGCACGTTCTTCCCAGAAGGCACCAACAATCCAAAGCGCCAAACAAGTTTGGGACCAGCCGTGGAGACGGGGTGGGGTCGGGGGGAGGGGGATCTACCGGGGTGAAAGGGGTGTGGGGGAGGGGTTATAAGGCTTTGGCTACACCACCGAATTGGATGGATGTTTCTCTTTGGAGCATCTCGCCAGCTTTAACAACTGCTTCGATATGATTTGCTGGAGCAAAAGGTGTGCATTGGCTGGATCAAGCCGGACTTCCAGCCAAGGTGAGTTTAAATCTCCATTTTTTCCTGCCCCTTAATTTGAAAGGAGCTTTTAATTTTCTCTGCCCCTCCCCCTCGCCCCTGTGAAGTCTGTTTTCGAGCTGTAAACCCGCTCCAACTCTCAGTTTCCAGCCCGGTTGCCTGAGAGCCGCAGTCGTCGGCCAGATTCCCCTGGACGACAGAAAAGCTACCTTTGTGTACACAGGGAGAGCCACCGCGTGGCCGAGGATAACCGCGGAGGAGGAGGAGGACACGATTTAGTCTCGGGCTGCCGAGAGCGGGCGGGGGAGGGCTAAGCCGACCCGAGGCGTGCTTTGTGGAGCGGCTTCGAGAGCGGCCGAGGCGGCCGAAGCCGCTTTCGAAGTTAGCAAACAAAGCGTCTCCCCAGTAACCGCGCGGGTGCAGACGAGGCTCCAGCCGCTGCGACCGCGGAGTCGCGGCGTGGGCCGGCCCGGCTCCTCCTCCCCGGCCCCCAGCGGGGCTGAGCCACCAATCCCTGCAGCAAACGGCCCTTCAAACGAGCTGGCGAGGCGGCCCTCCAACGGGCGGCGCGGCGCGGCCCCTCCCCGCGCCACATCTGCCCCGCGCCGGGCGCGCGGCGGCGTGCGGGCTTCTCCCCGGCCCGTGTGCCCCGTGCGCTTTCACACGTGTGCTCTCCCGTGCGCCGAGCGGTCAGCAAACCACAGGAGAAACGCGTCCTAAGGTGGCTGCCTTCCTAGAGGGATGCATTTCTCCTCGCTGAGTTTGAGTCTCGTAACTGGAAAAGCCACCCACGCTTTTTAAACTCTGGTCTCGGGGCGGGGGTGTCTTTTTCGGGGGGTGGGGGAGCTGGAGGGGTGGCAGGCTGGCTTTAGTTTTCAACGTGACCCTAAAGCAGAGGCTCCGAAGTGCAGCCGGTCGTCCTCTGGCTGCCTCGGTCCCCTGGGTCTAGGCGTCCACGGGCGCCTCCCGCCGGGACTCCGCGGAGCTCAGACTCCGCCGGGCCCGCGGGGGCAGAGCCGGCGCTGACGTCGCCACTAGGCGTATTTACGTTCCGGGTTTCTCTCTCTCTCTCTTTTTTTAAGTGACGGGGAGAGTCTTACTGCGGCATGTGACAGTTCCGTTTGCTTCAAAACAACGGCACATACCCACGCGAAAACTAGACCCAAGGGAGGGGCGGGCGTTTCTTGCAACCAGCCAGGCAACTCCTGGTCTTTTAAAAGGGCGATTTCATCAAGGACTTTTGTCGGATTCGTCCTAACCCTCAACCAAAGTAAACCAACAGGAGCATGTGTTTACCGAGTGGTTAGTTTCTGTTTGATATGCCGGAGGGTAGCAGGGCTCCCTTAGCGGGCTCAAGTTCTAAAAGTAGACCCCGTTTACCGAAACGTACGAGTGGTCACGGCGTGGGCGCCCCTTTCCTGCCCGGGTCCGGGGCTCAGGGTGTCGGGCCGAGTCGCAGACAGGCGGGCGCGCGCCCCGGCTGTCCCCAGGCAGAGACGTTTAAAGAGCATGTGAGCATGACAAGTGTCTGTCCGCAACGTGTCAGATTTCGAAACTGCCTTGCAATCCAGTCCGGAACTCGCAGCCTTAGCCCGGGGGAGCAGACTGCGGAGTCTGTGACCCGTCCCCGCGCGCCCCTCCCCCCGTGGCCGTTGGAGGGAGAGCCCGGGAGGGGAAGGGTGCGACGCGTCGCGCTCGCGTGTGAATGGCAGCCGCGCATTCTGGAAGAAGTTGCTTCTTGTCCCGAATACTTTTCCTCTCGCGCCCCGCCCCTGCAGTCGGGAGCGGCTGCCTCCCGAGGCTCGGGCGGGCCCGCGGAGTTTGGGGCAGCTGTCAAACACGAGGCCGGGAGACTTTCCCTCCGTGGGGTGGAGGAGGGAAGGAGGGGCGTCCTTCCCCCATCTGTTGCAATTTTCTAACCAAACGCACCGTCGCCGGCCCCGAGAAGCGAGGCCCGAAGGGGAACCCCGGGGCGCTCGGCTAGCGTCCCCGCCGCCGCGGGGCGAGGGATGCGGGCGGCGGGCAGGGAGGATCGCGTTTCTGGGCCCGGCCGCCCCCGCGAGGGACGGGTGACAGCCGCCGCCGCGCCGGGTCCAGTTCTCCGGGGCTGGAAGGTGCGGGGGAGGGGCGGAGGAGCGGCGGGGCGGGAGGGGGCCGGGCGGGCGGCTGGGGGCGGAGGCAGGACCTCCTGTACCTTCCCTCCCCGCCTCTCTCACTCTGACAGCGCGGAGGTGCGCCGAGCAGGAGCGGGGAACAAAGGAGCGCGGAGGGGAGGGGAGCGAGCTGGGCGAGGGAGAGCCCCCGGCCGGCTGCCAGAAGATCCCGGCGGGAGGAAGCCCGAGTGTCACTTGAATTCCTCCCAAGGAGCGGGCGCCTGGGATCTGAGCGCCTTGTTTAGCAATAGCGGCTGGAGCACGTCCTACAAGTTACGGGAGAGTCGGCCGTGAAGGAGGCGATCGCCTGTCCCCCGGTGTCCCCGCTCCTGGCCCCTTGAGACCCCAGCCCTGCCTCGCGCTGGGAGGGGAGTTCCAGAATGAAAAGCAAGAAAGGTAAGGCGGCCGCGGGCGGTGCGCACCGGGGGACGCCAGCCCCGGGAAGCGTGCTGGCGAGCGGCGCGGGGCTGCGGGCGAGAGTGGCTCGTGCACTTCTCCGCCCGGGGGCTCTCGGGCTGGAGCCGCGGCCGTTCCCTTTGTTGAGGCTGCTTCGGAAACGGCAGTGGCTGTTTTCCTTCTAGACACAACACGAGGGGCTGTTGTGGGGAGGCAAGCTCTCCACGCTGCTGGCACGTTGTCAAGGAGCACGCTCGGCGCCGTGTGCGCCTCCAACTTTCATTGTCTCTGCCGACACCCCACGCTCCGCCCGGCCGCCGCGTGGCTTCTCGCTCCTTCTCGGGGGCGTGGGCGTGGGGTCCGGGCCGGGGAACCCCGCGCCTCGCTTTTCCGGGCGGGGACCCCGGGCGATCGGGGCTGCCGGGCTGCCGCGCCTTTGTCTGAAAGTTGGGCTCGGGGGCTCCCCGCTCCGCCCGGCCGGGCACTCCGCTTTTGGGACGGGGAGCTTTGACGGCCGAAGGAACGGGATTGAGCCCCACATCCCCTTGGGGTGTAAACACCTTTGGAAAGCTAGACTTTTTAAAAACAATTTTTCAGTCTCTAAAACTTTTCCCAGGATGACTTTGGGGCGAGATGAAGAGTTAGGACACAGGGCCAATGAGCATCAAGTGGCATGCAGTGAAAATGTGTCCGAATGTGACAAACAGGCTTGGTTGTAAGTGCAAAGAGCCAGGCTGTCATTGTTTCTACAAAGCGTCCTGGAAGCTTTACAACTAAAACTTGCCGTCAGTCTGGTCTAAAAACAAAATAACACGCGGGGGAAAAACACACACACACCACCCTGAAAGGTCAAAGAATGTGAAGTCCCTTTAGAAGTTAATTTCTGAGTCCCTGACTGGGAGGTCCCCCGAGTGTTCCGTCGTGGGCCGGAGTTGCCTTTTCTGTTGTGATTTATGTGGAGTGGTTCAAAACAGAAGTTAATCGCTCGGGGAAGCGGGCGGTGCGACTGCGCATGCCCGGGGCGTCCCGGAGTTTGTAACTCCGCATTCTTTCGGAGCGGCGGGCCGCGCTCCGCCCGCGAGGGGGCTCGCGTGGGGCCCCGAGGCCTTCTGCGTTCCGGGTGATCCGTGGGGGGAGCCCGGGGGCGCGCGGAGCCTCTCTTTCCCGTCCCCCGGGCCTTCCCAGCGAGAGTGAAATTAAACGTGAAAACCCGGGTCACTTGGTAGTAGTTAGTGGAACTCCCTGCACACCCCTCCCCATGGGATGTGTGACTTGGGTCTGGGACAACACGCGCGGGGAGCGTCCGCGGCGCCTCGTGAAAGCTGTGTGGACCTCGGAAGGATTGACAGGTCTACACCCTCCCTGGGAGGCGTTCTCTCTGTTCCGGTGGGGCTCACCGGCATAAGTGGGGGGCTCTGTTTGTGAGGAGCAGTTCTGGTGTGAGGAGGCACCGCTGGGCTTCCGCCGGGGGGTGGGGTGGGCTTCCCCCATTGTTCTGGCCCCGGCGGGGGCGGCTCCGATTTACCTCCCGGATCCACCCCTCGCCTTGGGTACCCCCGGCGCCCCTCCCCCGTACTTCCCTGGGGTCCCTCCCCCCAGCGCCCCATGACCCTCCCTAGCGCCTCCGCCCAAATCCCGGGTCCCCCCCGTCACCCCTCCCCCAGTCCCCTCTCCGCCCTAACCCCCGGCCCCCAGGCGAGGACCGAGGCTGCGACCTCGGGCCGCGTCGCCTCGGTGGGAACCTCCGTGGTTCCCAGGCCTGGGCGCGCGGGGTCCTGCCACTCAGCGCCGACTCATGGAACAATGAAAGGTGACGCGTTGGAGGGGAAACTTTGCGACTGGTTCAAAGCTCGCGTGGGGGAAGTTGAGACTGCTGAGGTGACCCGGGTTTCTTTCCCTTTTTAGGTTTCCCTGGCTTGTCGTCCGGGGGCGGGCGGGCCCCGAGAATGTGGCGTTCCGGCCGCCGCTCGTTGCTCCCGTTTGCGGGGCTCGGAGGGCCGGCGCCGCGCTCTCTCGCGCCGGGCGCGGGCCGGGCTCGGCCGGGCGGGGGATCACAAGAACAAAAGCCACTTGCTCTGCTCCTCGGGCTCCTCCCTCTCCCCGCGTCCTCCTCCCCCGGTCTAAACTACCTGGGAGGGGAGAGCCTTCCCAGTCAGCTCTGGAAGTGCTCAAGGAGTCGGTCCCGCCTATTGTCTGTCGTATAAAAGTCTGTGGAAATCTTTCTGGGGTTCCTTAAAACAGCGGCACTTCCAACTCAGTTACACAGCCCGGGCTTTGGGGAGACTGGCTTGTGAGCACCGTGTGTCCCCTTAAAAAGTTGAGCATGGGGGTGGGGAGCAAGGCACCTTAACATTCGTACCCCCATAATATGCTGGAAAAAAAAAAGCTGAGCATGTCAAAGATCTCCCAAAATGGTTTAAAATAAGAAAGAAGGTTTTATGGGGAAACCCCCTAAGTCCTTTTGCGCCCAGTTTCCGATTCTTGCTTTAAGATTGCTTCTTGCACGGGCCACCAAGCGCACCTTAGAGTTAGTGACTTGGGTGTTAAGTTCGATTCCTGTTGCTTGCCTCTCCTGGGGAGATTCTCTGATCAGGAAGCTCGTTAGTTAGGTTTGCCTTTTCCTAATTGTGTACGAAGTTTTGCTTAGACCTCATTTCAAGATTCTGTTCTGGTCTCTTCTAGAGTTTTAAAAAATCCGGCTCCACCACCGCTCACTCTCTGTCCCGTCCTCCCCCATCTTGCTGTTACAGAGCTATTCAGAAAAGAAAGTGCAGAAGCAAGATTGCTCCTTAGTGCTGTGGGATCCGCGGGCCATCTTGTGGCTTTCTGAACAGTATTTCCTTCTGTGAGGATAGAGTCAAAGAAGCTTGTGATCTGACCCCCACCCTCCCCCCTACACATTTTTAAAGTGTAAGCAAAGCAGGACGTTTGGAAACAAGTCTTAACCGGGAGACTTTTCAAAAGCTCTGTTACAATAGGAAATGAGTAACGAGGAAAAAAGTCTTTTTGTTTTTCCAAGTTGAGCCACAGTCAGGAGGGAGAGTTTTAATGAAAACAGTCCTGACAGCAGCAAACGTGGTTTTTACTGCAGTGAAATATCAGCTGGCCGTAGCCAAGGAACTGAAGTCTCAACTTCCTGTTACTTCAGCTTTTGTGCACATATTGGAAATATTTGTTAAGAGGCCTGGCATTCATTTATTTAAATGAACTGAGAACAGAGTAAAGTCGGGCTGAGGTTTGGTGTTGCTTAACTGAAACCTGCTTTTGTGTGTCACTAACCTATTCTGAAAGATCAAGCTTCTTGTCAGACTAGGCAAGCAGATCAAAGGGCAGGCTTTAGGGGTTTTTTTGTTTGTTTGTTTCAAACTGTTTGTTATTACCAACTTACAGTTGGGAATTCACTGTTCCATGAGCAAATCTTCACACTTTTTCTAGATTAAAAAAAAAGGGAGGCGGTAATAGCCTTGAGAAGAATGTCAGGCTTTTCAGGTGTTGGAGAGTTTGAACAAATTGTTTTATTCAAATTTCCTTTAGTCATTCAGTTAACTTTCACACATTTGAAAAGTTAGATTTCTTTAATTATCCAAGCCTGTGTGAAACAGGAACGCATTTGTAATTTCTTAAGGTGTTTTTTAGTAAGCCAATTCTTCACCCCAATTTCAATAGGGATTTTGAAAGTTTCTCATCTTCTCAGTAGCGAAATTAGTTTCAGTTTTAAACGTACCCTTTTTAAAAAATGAAATCTTCAGAGAAGGGAAACTTCAAATACTTGGTGGTTAAAACTTAGGATTCTTGTGCAGTTTATTTGTGGCTCTTTGTTAAGCCTCGAGCTAAAGTGAATTTGCAAGATCATTCACCTCTTTGTTAGAACTTGCTTTATTTTGTTTTTGGAGAGTGCTGCCTTTTCTGTTGGCACGCCCTCCAGCACCTTCTGCCCCCTGCAGTCCAAAGCTAAAAATGTGTCACCAAGTCAAGTCAGTCAATTAAAAAGGTGGTTTTTGGTTTTTTAAAAAAATTTCTTAAAAATGCATTGACTGATTCATCACTATGAAGAATATACTGTTTTTATTTCCTGACTCAATTAAGGTAGAGGCATATTTACAATCAAAATTACGTACTACGGAGGGAAAAAAGTATACAAAGCTAAAAATGCATACCTTTAAATTTTTTAATTTGTTGTTTTAATTAATTTCTGTAATAAAGAAATACTGGTATTTTCAAGCATGGTATGGTTTGTGATTCATTTATGGATTTAAGATTCTAGATTGTCTTCAAAAAAGAGCATGTGTTTATTCAGTTGCCTGTTCTTTGAAAGGCAGAGTTAAAAGCATTTGTTATTTAATTTTAAGTTCAAATCACGTTTAAATGTCTGTAAAGGCCAGGTCTGAATTTTTATTGAACCCAGTCTGTGATTTAAATATTCTCCATGGCTTGTGAATTCTTAAAATTTCTGGCAGGATTAAAGTACATACAGTTAAAAGAGCTTCCTCTGGGGGTTGCATATTCAGTTTTCTTTGTCATGTAATAATTTAAGACTTACCTCTGCTTATTGATAAGTAGCGTTCTAGGCTCAGATTTAACAGCAGATGAAATTTACAGAAAATTTTAAATTTATTCAATATTGGGCATTTTTTCATGTTACTAAATAAAAGTAGTAGTAGTAGAAAAATATTTGTGTCATGAAACTGAAAACTTCAGTGGTTGTATTTAATAAAAAGTGACTAGGACTGTCAATTAAAAGTAGGCATCTAATTTTGAATAAATGTAGATAGTAAAGAATAAGAAATGGCCATGAAATTAGCAGAAAATTTTAACTTGTATTTTACCTTTAGAATAGCAACTGGGTTAAGTACAATATGTAATTTTCCTTCCTTATTTCAGTAAAAAAAAAAAGTACAAATTCTCCCTTTTATTTCAAACTTTCAGTGGAGGAAGAACAACTCTTAAAACGTACATTAGGATAGTGGTTAGATTGCTTTTCCTAGTCAGCAGTGACCTTAAAGAGAAGGTTGTTAGACACATTCCAACTGCTACAGTACCCTTCCTGTTTCAAATGTGGCAAGTTATTCACTTTGGGGGCAGTTTGTCTCCTCCTGTGGATTAGACAAAAGACTTTTCTGAGCATCCTTCAAAAGGAATGTGAGAAGTTCAATCCTAGAGGAAAGTGGCTAAGAAACAACATCTGACAATTGGCTGAGACTCGACCGTGTGATGCTAGTCCAGTTACTCTTGAGGACTTTGCTTGTACCCTGGTAATTCGGGACAGAAAACACTGGCCGTCCCTCCGCATCACTCAGTAGAGTTGAGAAAACACAGTGACGCTGAATGATCGGAATAAATTGCTTTGCAGTAGTCGCTCTGCTTATAAATTGACAACTGGCCTTTGTCCTTCCCTAGGTGTCGTTGCAGTGTCCGGCAGTGAGACCGAGGATGAGGACAGCATGGACATCCCCCTGGACCTTTCTTCCTCAGCTGGTTCAGGCAAGAGAAGGAGAAGGGGCAACCTGCCCAAGGAGTCCGTTCAGATCCTCCGGGATTGGCTGTATGAGCACCGGTACAATGCCTACCCCTCAGAGCAAGAAAAAGCTTTGCTGTCCCAGCAGACACACCTGTCTACACTGCAGGTAAGGAAAGAGAACACGAAGTTTATGTCTGCAGATTTAATTTCAAAGTCATTTTATAGCATTCCTGCGTGTCAAGTCATTAAGCTCCTCTCCACTCAAAAACAGAAGGAATATTCTTTTTATGGTAAACTTCATGGTGCTAAAAGCTAATAACTGGCTATTTAGAGAACACAGAAACACTTGACAGTCATCTGTCAAATAGCATTTCCTTTAATGCCCAAAAGAACCTTCCTTTATGCAACAGACATTAAAAGGAGGTTAAACCTTACTCTATCACCCAGGAAACTGGTTTGATATTTAAACAAGGACAGACTTCAGTGAGGTAATTCATGTTATGTCTGTTGACATAGTCATTTGAACTGAGAAAAATCAGTTACTGAGAGGAGTGGCCCTTTTCATACAGGAAAGGTTTTCCTGTAGTTGATTAACTTAATGCTGGGGCAGTAGGTAATGGTTTAAAATGGGGAGAGTTAAAAGGTAAACTTGTCTCCGTCCCTAAAATCATTTTCAAGTATTTGACATTTTATACCTTTTTCTTCCTCCCCCCGAAAAGGGTTAAGGATGACGAGACAAAAAAGGAAATTTGTATTAAAAGAGGAGGAGGTTTATGACAGGACTCGCTCTCTTTCTTGGTAGGCTCAAATACCTTGAAATAACGTTGTAAGTCCAGATAAGCCTTTTCATGCCTGTAATACAATCAGTTAGGCACCCGTAGAATGTTCCCAGAACCTGTTGGCTGAGTGAATGAGGAAAGTGTTAAAGCATACCGATGTGATTTCAGGTCTGTAACTGGTTCATCAACGCCCGCCGCAGGCTCCTCCCTGACATGCTGAGAAAGGATGGCAAAGATCCAAATCAGTTCACAATTTCCCGCCGTGGGGCCAAGATTTCTGAAACCAGCTCTGTGGAGTCAGTAATGGGCATCAAAAACTTCATGCCGGCTCTAGAAGAGACCCCATTTCATTCCTGTATAGCTGGGCCAAACCCAACCCTCGGGAGGCCACTGTCTCCTAAGCCAGCGTCCCCAGGATCCATTCTGGCCCGTCCATCAGTGATCTGCCATACCACTGTGACTGCATTGAAGGATGTCCCTTTCTCTCTCTGCCAGTCGGTTGGCGTGGGACAAAACACAGACATACAGCAGATCGCAGCCAGCAACTTGACAGACAGCTCTCTCACGTACCCCGAGGACACGTGTAAATCGGGACCAAGCACAAACACGCAGAGTGGTCTTTTCAACACTCCTCCCCCTACTCCACCGGACCTCAACCAGGATTTTAGTGGATTTCAGCTTCTAGTGGATGTTGCACTCAAACGCGCTGCGGAGATGGAGCTTCAGGCAAAACTTACGGCTTAACTCTTTGTCAAGCGAAACAGTTCTCAGAAATGTCATGATTGCCGGGGTGATGGCAAGCGATGAATTGCATTATTTTATATATTTTTTTATTAATATTTGCACATGGGATTGCTAAAATGAAGCTTCCTGTTACTGAGTGTCTTCAATGGAATACAGTCATTCCAAGAACTATAAACTCAAAGCTACTGTAGAAACAAAGGGTTTTCTTTTTTAAATGTTTCTTGGTAGATTATTCATAATGTGAGATGGTTCCCAATATCATGTGATTTTTCCCTCCCTCCCCTTTTTTGTTGGTGTTTTTTTTTCCAGACTGTGCAATACTTAGAGAACCTATAGCATCTTCTCATTCCCATGTGGAACAGGATGCCCACATACTGTCTAATTAATAAATTTTCAATTTTTTTTCCAAACAGGTTTGAATCTAGTTGATTGATGCCTTTTTTCATGACATAATAAAGTATTTTCTTTAAAAGTTATTGTAATGCAGAGTATTTTGTTGAGGGAGGTGCTTCTTAAATGAGTAGGAATGTAGTACCCCAATGAGCAGGAAGTTGAGGGTAGGGTGCAGTGTGAGTTAGGGGGTTGTCACCAGCTCTTTGAAGAACTGTGGACAACAAGCCAGTGTGTGTAAACAGGATGTGTGATATTTACTCTTGATAGGAGGCATGGCAGGCCCTTAAAGCTTTACTTAAAACTGCAGGGCAAATTGAAATGAATCATTTCATCAGTGTTTCTTGGAAACCTTTCATCTTTTTCAGCTAGCCACTGAGTACTTGGTCGTCTGCCCTGCATATTTTAAAACATGGCCATGTTGGAAAAAAAAGTCTCGAATCCCCTGGTATGGTTTATGTTTTCAGACATAAACAACAACCCAAGCAGTCTCTTAGCATTGTCCCTCTTTCACATTACCCTTTAAAATGAACTTGGTCAGTGGTACAATTAGGTAAGGCCTTTACATTCAAATATAGCATTATATTTAAAGAGAAATCACCTTTTAAAACGTCTTGAAACTTACTTGAAAATGATGAAATAAACAGTAATGGGATTGTTAGGTTATATTAGTTTATATTAGGTTAATATATTTATTCCAGGGTCACGGTATGTGAAAAAAATGGTGCTATGTGTAAGTGCAATTTGTTGGGACAATTACTTATAAAGCCCAGATAGCCAGAAGGGAATTGGTGAAGCTCCTTCTGCTTATATGGTTGAGCAGATTTGTCACATGCCACAAAACCATTCTGTGTAGTCATGCTTAGTATGAGGTTTCATTGTTGTTATGGTCATGTCCTTTCCAGCCTGCCCCAGTTTTGAACTGTCTCACTTTGAGGGAGCATCAGAGCTTTAGTATTGCTTCAGGAATGTAGAAAAATTTCTTCCAAATCCAAGTTCCTCTAATTTTGAAACCCTATTTTACAAAATCCCCACTGTAGAAAGAGGTAAACTCATAAAGAATTTTTTTTGTACATGAAAGAGAAAACCTGACAGTGACAACCAAGAGGTGACATGTGGTGTGCTAGCCCGTCTGGCACAGCTTTGAAGGGCTCAGCAGTAGCAGAGAATGGTCTGGCCCCAGCTGTGAGGGTCACAGAAATAAACACAAACCAAAAAAAAAATACTAATAAAATAAGTAAAAGCAAAATAAATATTAATGGAAAATGAAGGCTGAGTGTGGTATCTCAGGCCTGTAATCCTAGCATTTTGGGAGGCTGAAGTAGGAGGATTGATTGAGGCCAGGAGTTCAAGACCAGCCTGGGCAACATAGTGAGACCCCTGTCTCTCCAAAAAATAGAAAAATTAGCTGAGTGTGGTGATACGCACCTGTAGTCCCAGCTGCTGGGGAGGCTGAGGAGGATTGCTTGAGCCTGGGAGTTGGAGGCTCAGTGAGCTGTGATGCACCACTGCACTGCAGCCTGGATGACAGAGCAAGACTGTGTCTCAAAAAAAGAAAAAAAAAATGAAATAAAGGTGATTGAGAATCATTGCTTGCTCCACTAGCTAGATCAAAGGCTGAGATTTTTGCTTTGGTACAAGCAAGGGAAACCAGCAAATCCTGAAAACTTGCCTTGTTAAGGTGTTTCATCACTAACACTAGAAGGGGGACAAAAGGAGCCGTATGGGTCATTTAAAAGAAAAACTCAAGGGTCAATGAAACCCAAAGGTTAAAAAAGAAGTCACCCTAAATTGCCTAGGCTTTATTTCATTTTTCCCCTGTTGAGTTGTTATAGATCCTCGTTGATAATAGCTGATATATAATAAATGTAAGCCATTATTTAAAAACAGGTAAATGTAATTGAAAAGGTAAGTGTAAAAAGCTATTCATTATCAAAGCCAAATAGAAACGATTTCTATGCTTATAATTTACATGGTACAGTTTATTTCTTTTCATTTGTTCACTTCTAACCTGTTTTGGTGTTAAAGTTCATCTCATAGCATGTAGTTAGGTATTGCTTTTTTATCTAGTCTAACAATCTCTGACTTTCACTTTGTTTGCCAATTTACATTTGCTGTAATTATTGATACATTTGGATTAAGTTTACCATTTGATTTTCTTCTTTATTCCTCTTTTCCTGCCTTCATTCATGTTAGTTGGATATTTGGGGGGATTTTGTTTTATTTTTTCATTTTATTAATTAATTTATTTTTGAGACAGAGTTTTGCTCTGTTGCCCAGGCCAAAGTGCTGTGGTGTCAGCCTAGCTCACAGCAACCTCAAACTCTTGGGCTCAAGCAATCCTCCTGCCTCAGCCTCCTGAGTAGCTGGGACTACAGGTGTGAGCCACCATGACCAGCTATTTTTCTATTTTTAGTAGAGACAGAGTCTCGCTCTTGCTCAAGCTGGTCTTGAACTCCTCACCCCAAGCGATCCTCCCAGCTCGGCCTCCCAGAGTGGTAGGATTACAGGCGTGAACCACTGTGCCTGGCCTGTTTTAATTTTTCTATTAATTTATAAACTATACCTTGTCTGTATTATTTTTTAATGGTTCTAGAGATTACAATATACATCCTTAATTTATTACACTCTATTTAGGGTTGATATTATACAAGTTCATATAAAATACAAGACCTTACAACAGTCTAGTTCCATGTACCTTCACCTCTCTTCCTTTATTTTTCACATATATAACAGCTAAATACATGTTAAACCCAACAGTACAGTGCTATAATTTTTGCTTAAAACAAAACAGGCATGTATCATTTAAATAATTAAGGGAAAAAATAATATACATGTCTTTTTTTTTGAAACAGGGTCTCATTCTGTTACCCAGGCTGGAATGCAGTGATGCAAGGGGCAATTATAGCTCACTGCAGTCTCAAACTCCTGGGCTCAAGAAATCCTCCTGCCTCGGCCTCCTGAGTAGCTATGACCACAAGCACATGCCACCATGTCTGGCCTACATATGTCTTTTATATTTGCCAAATATTTACCATTTCTAGTGTTCTTCATTCTTTCCTATAGATCTGAGTGACATCTGGTGTTACTTCTCTTCAGCTTGAAGGATTTCTTTAAGAACTGTACTCCAGGCCTGCTGGTGACAAATCTAAGTTTTGCTCATTAAAAATGACTTTATTTCACTTTCACCTTTGAAGGATAGATTTCACTGATGGGGAACTCTGGGTTGATAGCTCTTATTTCTTTTAGCACTTAAAAGTCTTTTGGCCTCCATTGTTTCTGATGAGGCATCAGCTGTCATTTGTATCATTATTCTCTTATATATATAATAATGTCTTTTTCTCTGGCTGTTTTAGCTTTGAATTTCAGCAGTTTTGACTATAATGTACCTAGGTATGATTTTCTTTGTATTTATCCTGGTTCATTGAGCTTCTTGAGTCTGTAAGTTGATGTTTTTATTTTTATTTGTTTATTTCTTTTTAACCAAATTTGGGCCATTATTTTACTTATTTATTTTTGAGACAAGGTCTCACTGTTGCCCAGGCCAGAATGCAGTAGCATGATCATAGCTCACTGCAGCCTTGAACTCCTGGGCTCAAGTAATCCTCCCACCTCAGCCTCCTGTAGTCCTGGGACTACAGGTATGCACCACCACACTTGATTAATTTTTAGACAGGGTTTGACTATGTTGCCCAGCCAGTCTTGAGCTCCTAGCCTCACTGGATCCTCCTGCTTTGGCATCCCAAAATGCTGAGATCATAGGCGTGAGCCACCATACTGTGTGTGGGCCATTATTTTTTAACTTCAGTAAATTAACATTAGATCACCTGACATTGTCTACATTATCTGAAGCTCTTTTTCTTCAATCCTGTTTCTGTCTACTTCAGAATGAATCATTTGTATAATTTATTTTCAATTCACTGACTCTTCTACTATCTTCAATCTGCTATTGAAAACATCCAGCGCATTTTCATTTCAGTTATTGTATTTTTCACATGGAGAATTCTGTCAGGTTCTTTTTTATCACTCCTATTTCTCTGCTGAGATTCCTCATTGGTTTATTAATTATGAGTATATATTCTTATAAGCTATTGATAATAGCTGCCTTAAAATACTTGTCTGCTAGTAGTAACATGTCATTATCAGAATCAGTTTCTGTTGATTGCATGTCACTTCAGTGGGGGGGGGTCACTTTTTATTTATTTATTTTTTGCTTGTCTAGTATTTTTTCACTATATAGTGGACATTCTGGGTGGTCTATTAATAAAGACTCTGGATTCTGCTACATTCCTCTGAAGAGTTCATTTTTGTCCTAAGGCAGTTCATTTGGCTTGACTAAAACTTCAGACTCTGTCCCTGCTGTAATGGATAGTAGCTGAGGTCCCTGATCAGTTTTCAGCTCTGGCTGCTGCTATCTTCTAGTAGGCTCCTTGGGATTTCCCTTGCACAAGTCAACCAGGGGCTGGAACAAAATTTATATTCAGAGTTTGAGATTTGTTTCTTCCATAGCAAACTTGTTTCTGGAATTCCTCTCCTAACTTTCTTAACTTCTGCTCGGCTCACCCCAACTCTGTCCATGACATCTCAAGCCACGAAGGGGTGTAGCTTCCTACTACCCCAAGCCTTCTGAGAATGAGGACTGCCCTCAGCCACAAAGGCACAGACTTGTACATCTCCAAGTCCTCTTCTTTGAAGGGTGGACAATCCTCCAGTTTCTGCCTGTTTGTGGTTTTTATCCAGGCCTTCAATTAGCTTTTTGTTCACACTTAATGATTGTGGTCTGGAGGGGGTTAGTCTGAAAAAAAGATTCATCATTACTAGGAACTAATATTTCACTACAGTTCCTTTTTTTTGAGACAGAGTCTCACTTTGTTGCCCAGGCTAGAGTGAGTGCCGTGGCATCAGCCTAGCTCACAGCAACCTCAAACTCCTGGGCTCAAGCGATTCTACTGCCTCAGCCTCCCGAGTAGCTGGGACTGCAGGCATGCACCACCATGCCCGGCTAACTTTTTGTATATATTTTTAGTTGCTCAATTAATTTCTTTCTATTTTTGGTAGAGACGGAGTCTTGGCTCTTGCCCA